TCAAATCTCAAAAATCTTCAAACTTATGTATTATGTACTTTTGTACTGTGTGTTTAATTATCTTGAACATTTATCTCAGCATATATTCTACTAATTTAAAATAATTGCAGCATTTTTCAAATTAAGTCAATATGAATTGGAGCACATTTTAGAGCCAGTCTCCTCTGCTGTGTGCATCAGCAGGAGGGGCAAGGTCAGGCGTGTAGTCAAAACAAAAACAAAAGTCACCACTTGAATGTGAATTGGGTACAGTTCAACTTAATAATCCTAATTCCCTCTTTCTTTTTTAGACGAAGTCTATAATCAATAATCACTTTTAATACAGATTCTAATTTAAATGTTTGAAAAACGGCTTTTGTAACTAAAATAAAAACATAAAAACAAACACAACTCACAAAAAGTTAAGAAATAAGCAGCAGATTTAAAAGAATGGAATCTAGAAATATGTTAGGTCTAAAAAGAATTGCACAGCTTTAGCACTAATATTTGGGTTTCAAAAAACATAATATTCAAAACTTATTCACTAATGGTGTTTAAAAACGTTTAACTGTGTCATAACACAATGTTCAATGGCAAATTTCGCAAATTTAACGGAATAACAACTATGAAAAGCCAGAAATCCTAAAGCAGTAGCTCTGATTCAGAGCCAGAGCAGCAAAGGAGGGGGCCGTTTCCCTGACAACGGCAGCAAGATAGTGCGACGCACACAGGCAGAAAGCAGTGTTTTAGCAAAAATGCAAAAACAGAAAGAAGAATAACTTTCAAGATTACTTTGTTAAGCGAATATAACTTGTAGTTTATACTTTTGTCATCCAAGTCTAGAAGTGATCACTTTCCACACTTGTAACAAAAGGCACTCTTGTCTTTAACGTTTACGCTTCTATTTTATCGAGGTAGCAAACTAGTTTAAACTCAAAATCTCTTTCTAAAAAAAAAAAAACAACTGTTGGATACAACCCTCTCATAGCTTAACTGTAGATATAACTCGGCAAAAAATGTAAATAACTCACGAAAGCTCTCATAGCTCAACTTTAGATAAAACTCTGCATTCTCCGGTGAACTCTGTTCACGCCAAAAACAAACTAAAAAACAAAAACTCCCTTATTCTGTATGTAATTTAAACCGTGATCACTGAAATATTGTTGCTTCTTTACTTTTGTCATTTATCAGCCTGAAATTTGTCAGTTTCAAAGCTTTTGTAACAAAGGCCTCTTTAACACATTAGATTAGATTAGATTGGTTTATTTGAAAGGGGACAGTGCAATTTCATGTAACACATGAACAAACATGGTTAAAAAAGCCAGAATTAGCCAGAAGGCTATTTTTCATCTGTAGTCCCCTGGCCAAGATGTAAAAAGGCATTAAAATACAAGCATGATAAAACATTACAATTCTTTGACACATCAATAACAACAAATAAAATATAAATGACACTGTATAATAACTAAAGGCACACAGTACCTGATTGCAATATAAAAACACACAAAAACACTTGTTTAAAAGGATACATTAGATATACAATACAGCAGTGTCTCCCAAAGTGGGGTCCGCGGCCCCCTGGTGGGCCGCGAGGGTACTGCAGGGGGGCCGCGGGAGGTCATAAAAAAAATAATATAATTATTTAATGTTAAATTTATAATGTTTTGTTTGTAATATTAAAATATTTGTGTTCATAATTTGACTTGAATAATCCTGTTATTATAATAACAGGAATAATAATGTTTTTAGCAGAGGCTATTTCCCCAAAATAAAATAACCAGAAGAGCCTATTCTTAATGTTGTCTACTTGGATATTATTTTGGGGGGCCTCGCAGACCCGTCAGATTTTTAAGGGGGCCTCGGTGTTACTGAGTTTGGGAATGGCTGCAATACAGCATAACATGCTCAGCTTTTAATGTTGGCAGACGTACATGTTAATGTACCTATTTTTCAATTTTTTCGTAAAGGCCTTGTAAGTGGTGAGCTGTCTAACCTCCTCAGGCATTGAGTTCCACTCAACGGCGCCCCTCACTGACCAGGCCGAGCGACTGAAAGCACTCCTTCGCAGAGGGATTACACAGTCGCCTCTTACAGAGCCTCGAGTGACACGCTCAGAGCTGTTTCTTTGGCTGATGAACTTTGCCAGTGGAGCTGGGGCTAAATTATGTATTACTTTGTATATGAGACTCAGATCTGCAAATCTATGGAGACTGTCCCAGTTTAAAAGGCTGTACTTTTTAAGAATTGTACAGTGATGATAGTGTCTTGGTTTTTTGTCCATGACTTTAATGGCTTGTTTGTATAATGTTTCCAAAGGGCTTTTGGCGCTCTGACTTGCCTGAGACCAACTTATTAGGCAGTAGTTAAAGTGGCTGAGAATCATGGAATGTAGAAAAATTATTGCAGCTTCGATTGACATTTCATTACGGATTGAGCGGAAATTTGCAAGATTAAATTTTATATTTTTGCATAATTTGTCAATATGGGCTTTAGGAGAGGTGTGAGTCGATTACTAACCCAAGATATTTGTATTGATTTACAATTTGTAATTTTTTTCCAGCAACTAGTATGTCAGGATTAAATGAGGCTCTATTGGCTTTACTGAAAAACATACCTACAGTTTTTGAAATATTTAGCTGCAGGCAGTTCTCCTGCAGCCAGGATGTGATAAGATTCATTGCTTTAGTGAGTTTAGCAGCAACAATGTCCTTTGAGCGACCGTGAACAAATAAAACAGTGTCATCTGCATACATCAAACATTCAACTTCAGAGCAGACAGTTGGTAGATCATTAATATAAAGGCTAAATAAGAGGGGGCCTAATATTGAGCCCTGAGGAACCCCGGTGGTTAGCCTAAGAGACTCAGACTTGCTGTTGTTAATTAATACAGATTGTGTACGATCATGCAGGTAAGATTCAAACCAACTCACAGTGTCACGAGAGAAATTAAACTGTGAGAGCTTAGTAAGGAGAACAGAGTGGTTAACTGTGTCAAAAGCTTTCCTGAGATCCAAGAATACCGTCCCTACTACTCCACCCTTGTCAAGAGAAGATTTTATTTTCTCAATAAAAAGGCATGTAGCCGTTTCAGTGGAGTGTTTGGATCTGAAACCAAACTGCATGGCGTGAAAAGAGGGGGAGCTATTGTTTAAATACTGGACAACCTGCTCAGCCACCCATTTTTCTGCAACTTTGGAAATGGTCGGAAGAATGCTTATGGGTCGGTAGTTATTCAGAGAGGTTGGAACACCAGATTTATAAACTGGTGTAACAATAGCAGATTTCCAGGCCTTTGGAAAGTGACCACTGGAAATTGAGAGATTAATGATGGAAGCAATGGGAGTAGCCAGAGCGGATCCTGAATCTTTAAGCATGTTTGTATCCATTCCAAAGACATCCCTGGCCTTAGATGGTTTGAGGGTTTTAATTATGTTAATGACTTTGGTCTCAGTGATGTTTGTTATGAAAAAAGACTGTGTAGCAGACAATGAGTATTCTTTTTTTTGTTTTACTGTAAAGTTCTTAGAGATTTCTGCTACAGATTCAATAAAGTAATTGTTAAAGGCATCAGCTATTACTTTTGGTTCTGTTGAAATGTCTCCATTTAATTCAATTTGCATTTGTTTGGTCTTACTTTTGTGGGAGTCACCTGTCAATTTTTTTATATAATGCCAGGTTATTTTAGAATTTCCACGTGCACTTTTCAAAGCAGTGATGAAAAAGTCAGCTTTAGATTTTCTTATTTCTTTCACTACTCTGTTTCTTAAAGAGATAAATTGATTCCTGTTATAGCCTGATTTTACAGCCAACTTCAAGGAATGATCTCGTTCTTTCATCAATTTCAAAATAGATTCATTTAACCAGGGAAGACCATTTTTTTTAGCTCTTAGTTTAATTTTCCGTGTAAATTGTGTAATAATTTGCTGTATTTTGTTAGAGAATTGAGAACAGTCCTTGTCCAAGTTTATGCCATAGAGTAATTCATCCCAATTTACACCATGGATTGAATCTATGAAGGTTTGTTGTTCCTGCTTTGGTATCCTAAAGGATTCTCTGGCTGGCAAAGATTTAAAACGTTTTTTATTTAGTTTTCTGGTTACCATTATGAGATTGTGATCAGACAATCCAGTAAGCATATTGTATGATTTCAAAATCCTTTCTGGCCTGTTTGTAAAAGCTAAGTCAATTTGAGTGCTCGTAGTGTTTGTAATTCTCGTAGGGCCTTTAATCACCTGATTCATATCCATTTTATCCATAACCTTTTTCAAGTTTTTCCTGATTTGCTTGACTTCCCAATTAACATTTAGATCACCCATTATTATAAGTTCTTTTGCAGGGTTGAGTTGTTTTAATAAAATGTCCAGGTTTTCATAAAAATCTGCATTTGAAGAAGGAGGTCTATAAATAACAACAAGAATGAAGGACATTTGCTGTGACAAAGTTACATTTAAACCAAGAATTTCTAAATCATTCTCATTTGCAACATGAATTTCATTACAGTTAAATGAGTCCTTGGCATAAATCACGACCCCCCCCTCCCTTGGAACCCTGTCTGTCTTTACAAAACATTTTATAACCGGGTATAGATGTTATTGCAGAGGGTGAGGTTTCATGAAGCCATGTCTCAGAAAGGCATAGAAAGTCAATATTAGAGTCAGTAAGTAGGTGGCGGACTTGATCATTTTTTGACTTGATACTTCGTATATTTAAATGTGCACATAGAATGCCTTTTGGTTTGGATCTTGAGTCCCAAATTAATTTAGAGTTATTAACTGTCTGAAATACCCGGAGTTTCCGGTGTTTTATTATTGCGGGATTTGGCAGTTTCCTGTTTCTATTGTTGACGTTATTTGTAAGTAGCTTTACATTTTCTGTGCTGTCACCTGTTGCACAGTGCTCAAACTTACAAGAAAGAGAAGATGGGGCTCGGATTTTACTTGCCGTAGTAGAAAGAGTCTGACACCTGGAGTTTAGCAATCCGGCCGTGCCGGTAAGATCCGTGCAAGTGCCAGCTTTCAACCATGCCGTCCCTGCTGTACTATCGCTGCTGCCACTCCTATCAATTGTTTGTGGACTGTTGACAACACTCCCCTGCGCCGAAGCCCTCACGGCACAGTTTAATGCGCACGATGAACCCCGGTGAAACAGCGCTCCACGGCCAACCTGGAAGGCGTCCTCGTCCAAATACCCGATTGACGGGGGCATCCCGTGCGGCGGAGAGGGCAGAGCGGCGCAGCCGGTAAACTCGCCGCTAGTCCCTGATGGATCCATCCAACCGGTGACCACGTCCGCGCCGATCACTGGTTCCGCCGCGCTCGCCGGGGAGATGAGAGAATTGAGGTGAGTGTTTAGCTCAAACATGTAGCTTGTAGTAAACGTGCGTACCTGTGAGTTTCCTGGGATGCTCTTAAGGCGCGTTCAGACCAAAAGCTTCAAAAAGCTTTTGACGCGCTTCAACTGACGCCGGGATAGTTTTGTCATTTTGGTACTTGAAGCTTTTGACGCGAGTGACGCGAGTGACGCGCCTGACGCCGGTGGGAGGAGCTTCTCTGTTGTCTGTAGTCAGGACAGCGGTGGATTTTTCAATGAGCAGCGAGCCTTTATTTGTTATATAAAGCAAAATAACAACAACAACAACTTCAACAAAACATGTTCTGGGTTCACCACAGACTTGAGAGGCTGCAGTGTTTGCAGAGTTCCGTCATTTACTCCAGGAGCTGCGTACGGAGGAGTTTCGCTTTCAGCGGTACTTCCGCATGTCACTTGCCCAGTCTGAGTTCTCAAACCCCGGAGCTCGCCTCTCCCCGGCTCTCGCTCGCCTCTCCCTGCCTCTCCCTGCCTCTCCCTGCCTCTCCCTGCCTCTCGCTCGCCTCTCCCCGGCTCTCGCTCGCCTCTCCCCGCCTCTCCCCGCCTCTCCCTGCCTCTCCCTGCCTCTCGCCCGCCCGGAGCTGCCTTGCTCTGAGCCAGACCCATCGTCAGCCTGTTCTTATTTTAAATAAACTACGTTTACTACACAGCATGTGTACAATGATTTTTGTTACTCAGAATTTTACTACTCATACAAATAATATTACTAATAACAATAATGACAATAAAACAGCAGCAGCAGATACATGACTTCTCTCCATGACAGAGACAGACCCTCTGCTGCTGCTGCTCCTCGTCTCCTGATTGGTTGAAGCCCGCGTCAAAGCTTCAAAAGCTCAGCTTTGCTCAGCTTCGGCGTCAAAGGGATTGTTGTGATACGCGAGCGTTTCGCGCGTCAAAAGCTTCAAGTGAGCGCGTAGTACGCGCGACTCTTGAAGCTTTTGACGCGCGTCAAGTGACGCCGGGGCTCTCGGCTTCACCTGACGCGCTTCACCATTCACTTTCAATGGAAACCTGACGCTTTTGACGCCGAAGTTAAGTCCGGTGTGAACGCCCCTTTACAGTGGTTTGATGTGATGCTGTGGTGGCTATCTGATGTTAGGCCATTTGTCGGACCGGGGCATTGGTGGATGTCCCCGGACAGCAGAAGGTAGATGGTGATCATTAGTGCGAGGCTCTGTTGCGGCTTTAATGCCGGTTTGGAGGGCTTTCTGATTTTGCTATGCAGATATGGATGAACGAGCATAGAAGCCAGGACGTGTCTTCCAAGTCCAAGATGTTTGGTGAATTTGACAGGCACAAAGTCCATTGATATAGGTTTGATTATGCCATTGTAACTGTATGAGTCATCCAGAATTTGACCTGTGTCTATGTAAAAAAAGGTGTTAGTGAGCAGTGCACAAGCAAAGAGCGCTGCCGCTACACCTGCCACACCCGGGGCCGCCATCTTACGCTGCTAATGTCCCTACATTTCCCTTTTTATTGCTTTTCTGTTTACACCATGGTTTCACTTTTGGATCCAACACTTTTCTCTGGCTAGCAAGGGGCCTCTACCCCGGTAATTACTCAAAAAAGGGCCTCTACCCTGTAATTACTCTTTTTCTCTTCTCAAGGGGCCTCTACCCCGGTAATTACTCAAGAAAGGGCCTCTACCCTGTAATTACTCTTTTTCTCAAGGGGCCTCTACCCCGGTAATTACTCAAAAAAGGGCCTCTACCCTGTAATTACTCTTTCTCTGCCCTGACTACTTCAAAGGACAGGGACCCCGATACGTCAAGGGGTTCCTTTTTCCTATAGGGACTGGTTACCCACACAGCTAACCTGTTTTCTACAACATAAGACATGACAAAGACGTGACAGAGACAAAACAAAGAAAATTTGATTTAGAGAGAGTTGGACAGACCTCCGGGACAGCTCAAAATTTAGCTAGTATCCAATTATGCAGACTTTACATATTAAAAAAAGTGTCTGCTTACCTTATTTTCTTTGTCCGGACTGTTCGAGAGGTCGACCAACATCTTTTCCGCGTCGAAAAATTCAATTTAAACACAAAACAGAGAAAGTGAGGGAGCAAGAGCAAGCCCATCCAAAAGCGAGCCCTTTCAGCGTCCACTGGGATTTCTCCCCTTCCAGATAACGTGCTGTTGCTCCCACACGCCGAAAAAAAGAAACAGAGGAAATTCCCTCAAAACAATCCAGAGAATGGCACACACTGAGCCACGCATTCTCCACCAAATCTGTCAGGGATTTAGCAGACAGAGACGGATCGTGGTAAGCCAAACTCTGGAAGTTTATTTAAGTTTCTCTCAAGTTCCAATGGTTTCCATTGTTTCTTTCTCTCAGACAGAATAAAGGCAGTACACAGTTTATATAGTCATTGTCACGTCACACATCGAAAGACGTACGTGTCACACAGAGAGAGTGCAAATCATAGTCATAATAATCAGAGTCCTTGTAGAGTCCTGCACGTAGGCCATATTGCTATTTAATACTAACAGTTCCACTTTGTCACTTTCTAGCACAATCAGTCTCGATTCCAGCGGCTGAAAGAATCAGTAAATATTATTAGCCACATCAAATCCTTTTTCCCATCTAAACATTGCCTGGATCAAAAACATAGTGCCTTAAGCAGACCTGGAGATTCTTATCCATGCATTTGTCTCCAGTAGGTTAGACTACTGTAACAACAGCTGCAGTACATTCAAAATGCAGCAGCTCAAGTCCTGACCAGAACCAGGAAGTACGATGGCAAGGCAAGTTTATTTGTCTAGCACAATTCATACACAAGGCAACTCGAAGTGCTGAACAAAATAAGAAAGCATTAAAATAAATAATCACAGTACATTAACAAAGATAAATATAAAATCCCTCAGTTGTAGCACAGCTAAACAGAACTGTTTTTAACCTGGTTTTAAACCTTGTCAGAGAGGAGGCCTGTCTCACTTTAGCTGTGCTACAACTAAGGGATTTTATATTTATCTTTGTTAATGTACTGTGATTATTTATATTAATGCTTTCTTTTGCTCAGCACTTTGAGTTTCCTTGTGTATGAATTGTGCTACACAAATAAACCTCCCTTGCCTTACTGTGCGATGCAGTTTAGTCTTACCCTCTTTCTTCTCGCTCGACTCTGAGCTGAACTCTTCGCCACATCCGCCCTCAATGAGTTTTCTGGCTTGGCATTTTGATGGCTCCTGCGAACCGTCTCATAATAAGTCTTACAGGCTGCTAGAAAACAATCAAAAAAAAAAATCAAACGCAAGTCACAGTAACGTCACACAAGGAAGGAGAAACTGTTAAACACTTACACACAATGTCGTCTTTATCAACATGGTGGAAATGTGGACTTATTGTTCACATTGTATTGCAGATATTGTGTTAAGCAAATAGGAGGTCACCATCTCATTACGAGGCTAGATTAGTCTGAAAACAAAGTGTACAGTTATGATTGGTATCTATACATATCCATTATCTACACAAAACGTGTAGGTAAACCAAATTCAATTTCCATGGATACATTAACAATACTTACATAACCTTTTTGAGAAAATGGATCCTTCAATGAAGACAAAAGTGTGATAATTCTAAGAGCATAGCTTTCTTTTTGTTTTCAGGAAGGCATTTGTCTAAGGAAAGAAAAACACTCATGGTCAAGGGACTTCATGGTTACATAAAAAGGCTAAATTAATAGTATCTACAAGTACATATTTTCACAGGGACCTAACCAAGAGATAATCTACAGAACATCTACCTAGGTCATTTATAAAAGACATAAGTACTATTTATCTTACAATGGGGAATCAATTAAATCAATTAATCAACAGTGCTGAGGGAAACTGAACTGTTACGTGATTATTGTGAAAGGTCTTTCAAGTGATTTTCATTTTATTTTGAGTAAATATCCTTCCACTTGTAAGAAGGAACTTTTGAGTAATAACTGAGGGATACAACATACCCATGTGTTTCACTCATGTCACTGACGAGAAGGTCGACAAGTTGTCTTCGAGAGCGGTGACTTAGTGATCTCACAGAATTATAATCTTTAAGGGTCTCTCGGTCACCAGGGTTTTCCTGCAGTTCCACCATCTACAAACACGTGGAAAATGTAAAATGACAATCTACAATTGTACCAAAAATCGTATGATATATAATGCAGCAGGACCTCTTTAGCTGTGTCCTTCTCACACATGTCCTGATTGGATCTCCTTGTGACTGCCACAGAGGATTCTCCTTTAGGAGGAGACTATGGGTTCAGGTCAATTGAAAGTGATGGTGTCCATTTCCATTTGAGAAAGATCTGTTAAAAAAATAAAACATCTAAATATGATGCATTACTTATAATACTTTGTCATTTCATAATTTTGACTGTGAAATAAATGTTGTGTCTCTCCCGTGTCTCCTCCTGAAGCACATTTTTCCTCCATGCATTAACAATGCATGTTATTTGTGCACAAAAGTAAAATGTTGTGAACAAATAAAACACGCAACAGGCCATTTTTATGATTATTTTGCAGACTTAAGAGCCCTGTGAGTCCTTGTTTAACTTTTTGGGCTGAGAGTGGATTTTAAATGTTTTTTCCCCCACACAGTTAGTGCCACTTTATTCCCAAACTGTAGTTAACTCATTATATTGAGAAATGTAGAGTTACCTTCAAGTGTGTTGTGACCGGGCGACGTCACGGTCCTTTAATATATTACGTGTCATTCACACTGGACAGAATAAACCCGCCTTAACGAAGTGTATTTCCCCAGTTTAGCTTTAGCCAAAAGGTTACAGCAGATATAACAGCTTCAAGTTTTAGTTTCATTTTTGTCACTTTCTTTCTTGTACTGTTTTTTTCCCTGTATTATTTGAATTGCTTTTTCAGGTGGAGGTTAAGGTTGTTAAAGCAGTACTGAGTAAGTTATCACCTACAAGTGTCACTGCTTGTTGTGTCTTTTTCATAATTGTACATAGGAGTAAAACACTGTACTGAC